AAGTCCAGGCTGGCCTCGAACTCACAGAGATCTGCCTGGCTCTGCCTCCCGAGTGCTGGGATTAAAGGCGTGCGCCACCACCGCCCGGCATGCCACATGACTTTTAACCTCTCCTACATGTCTGACTTGCTCTGTGTCTTGCTGGCATCTCCCTGCACCTAGATTCTAACCCTGAGTTCCTCTCTCTCCTAGGAAGTCCTGCCTACCCTCTCCTGCCTAGCTATTGGTCATTCAGTTCTTTATTAAACCAATCAGAAGGTGCCTTTCACACAGTGTGATCAAATATCCCACAACAAATTACTTCTTATCTTACCCTTTATACTTCTTCTTCTGTCAGAGATGACCACTCTAGTGTGTCTAGAAAACACTGACATACCTTTTAAGGGTCAGTTCCTGTGCTCTCTCCCTTGAGAAATCCTTAGAGCATCCCCGCCCCCCCAAGATTTCTTTGCATAGCCCTGCCTGTTCTGGAACTCACACCATAGACCAGGCTGGCCTCAAACTCACAGAGACTCACATGCAGGGAATAAAGCTGTGCACCACCACTGCCTGGCAAATCCTTTTCTATTTATGAGGCCTTTAACATAACACCTATGATATTATTGCATTTGTTTATACATATTTTCCCTCAGCTGCAGAAGATTCAACTACTTGAAGCTCCTGGATGGTTGATTTGTACAGATCTCTACTTAGGTTCACTTAGTAGATGCTCATCAATGATTAGTGACCCACCTGTAAAAAGACTCCCTTTATCCATGACATCATTGATATTAACCATCCCATTATCTGTAAAACAAGACAGAGTGTATGCATTAAAAATGATAATACACATAGAAAAAGACATAAAGCTATACACTGAAGAAAAACACAGAGACCTAGCCAATTTTTAATATTCGATTTAGAGTTTTATCCCGTTTCCATTCCATTGAAAATGGGGAAAGATTCTGAGAAGGACACTGACTTTACATTGCTTACGTCACTGTGTGCTCTGTCAAGACGGCAGAGCACAGCCAGGAAGACCCTGGGCTGACGCCAGCAGTGGCTCCTTGTCCTGTCTGGAGGAGTTTCTTGTTACTGGCTGCAAAGCTGGTAAGCAATCAAATGGATCAAGTGCTGTGGAGGAAAGATCTGACTTGGGACATTAGTAGTGCTTTTCCGTCTCCATGCTCTGTCCTCGGGCAGGGCTCGGCTCCACCTGCCATTCTTCCACTAGCCACGCTTAACATGGCTGAAAGTGCTTTGATGAATTAGCTGAACTTAAATAGCAGTTAAAATGCTTATTTATTGGGAAGGGCGTCACCACTGACCTGGAGTTTTCTGTGAGCGGAGGAAGACCTTCCCCTTCTGATTCTTCTGCCTTTGCCTCCTGAGAGCTGAGGTTATGGGCTCATGCCAGTGTGCCCAGCTTAAATGCAGTGTTGGTATTTGGTTTACTTTAATTAAGTAATTAAAAATTTTGAGATAGTGTTTTTCTATGTAGAGCTGGCTGGCCAGGAACTCTGTTTATTTCAGGTTGGTCTCAAACTTAGGGTGGTCCTGCCCCCTCTGCCTCCCAAGTCCTGGGGTTTGAAGACTGCTCTGCCACCCTGTTTAAGTGGACAATGTGGTGAGCTAGTACCTCACAGACTCTGCCTCCCCCTTCCCTCCTCTGCTTCCCTTCTTTCCTTCTGAGGAAGGTGTCTTATGTGTCGTCATTAGTCCAGCAGGTGGCTACTGACAAGCTGGAGATGGGTCTCTGATGTGTCTCCTGTGGGATCAGCAACTGAGATGTGTGCCTCAGGGGGAAACTGCTACTTCTAGAATTAAAATAGTTGTCATATTTCACTAATGCTTCCAAACAGCTGGAAAACGAGCTAAGAAAAAGTATGTCCTTTGTGACTAGTTAAAAAAAAAAGGTCAGAACCAGAGAGACCATTGCCACCAACTACACAAATTAGAAGGAATATACAGGAATGCAAGTGACTTCATACCGACACTCAGACAATTCAGATGAAATGGATACATTTTTAGAAAGGCACAAACTACAGAATCTCACTCAAGAGAAAGATGACTAAATTTCACTGCCTGGTTTAAGGCCCTTCTGGTGACTTCCCTGTCCATACTCTCCACCCTGGACACTTGGTTACTTGAAGCAGAAATTCCAGCCTTGAAGGAATACTTGCTAATGTCCCATGATTTTGTTGCACTTATACTTTGGCATGCACTGTTTTTCTTAGCTGTAATGCCTTTATTAGTGGAGGATTTCTGCACATATAACAGCTTTCTCTGACCCTTTTCCTGGAAAACTTAGGTTTTTGCTTTTTCAGAATCTCAGTGAAGGCATTTTTAGTACTATACTACAACTAGATAACACCATAATGATGTCTTGGCCTCTAGGCCTCCTTCCTAGTTGATAGACGGTTAGGTTGCTATACTCCTAATAGTTAAATATATTGGCACTCAATGAACTGATAAATTCTTGAGGGTTAGACTTAAATTATTTTATTTTTATGTGTATGAGTTTTTTGCCTGAATGTGTGTATGTGCAGCACATGTGTGCCTGGTGTCTGCACAATCCAGCAGAGGGCATCAGATCTCCTGGAAATGGAGCTAGAGGCAGTTGTGAGCTGCGGGATGTGGGTGCTGGGAACTGAACTGAAGTCCTCTGCAAGAGCAGCATGTGTTCTTAACTGTGGAACCATTCCTCCAGACCTTAGACTTAAAGATTTATTTTTATTTTAAATTGTGTGTGTGTGTGTGTGTGTGTGTGTGTGTGTGTGTGTGTGTGTGTGTTCTTGGAGGCCAGAAGAGATCTTCTGAAGCAGGAGCTATAGGTGGTGGTGAGCTATCTCACATGGATGCATTAACAAACTTGAGTGTGTTGGGAAAAGAATTAAGAATGTCCTTATCACTCAGCCAACTCCAGCCTTGAGGACAAGACTTTCTATCTTTTAGGTTTTTTATTTCTTCTTTTAAATACTTTTGCACAAATCCAGATTTGCTTTTTGAAATCCTCCTATATAAACCCAAAGTCAGGAGCAACTTACCATTAACGGGCAGGTAACTTATCAGGTCTTCATATTCATTCTCCTCAAGTTCAAAACCCATATTTTCCATGAAAGTTTTTATCTTTTTCAAATCAATCTGAACTCCTTAGGAAACAGCGGGAGAAGAAGATAAGCAATGGAGACACTAGTCATGCCCACGCATTAGTAAAGGGTACACAGTCAAAGGACAAAGCTGTTGGAGGAGTGAGCTGTCACAGGACTCTGGGCCAGAAACTGCTCCCTTGTTCTGCCCAGAGCCTCTATAGAGACATTTATAAGGAGTTAGGTAGGTCTGCTGAATTCTGGCCAGAAACCACTCATACTCAGAACTCTCAGAAAACAGATTTGAACTGCTGTGAGTGTGAAACATCACATTTTTACAGGTGGTCATGTTTAAAGCAGCAAGTGACTTAACAACTTAAGAAACAAAGCAGGCCAGCTGACAGATCTGTCATCACCCAAAGCGTGAGAAGCGAAGCACGGGAAGTCCAGTTTCACCCAGTTTCTCACTTACCTTTGAGGGACATGACGCTGTCTATCAGCTTGTGCTTGTATATCTTCCCGGCAGCTGCAAAGCAAGGCACACACTGCAGAGTTCGAACCCAGGACACGTACGAAACAGCTCAAACTCTCAAGTCTCAGGAAACAACTCTAGGGATT